GAGTAGATATATGCACAGCAATGTTCATAGCAGCACTATTTACAATAGCAAAAAAATGGATACAACCAAAATGCCCATCGATTTAAGAATGGATAAACAAACTGTGGTACATGCACACAATGAAATACTATGCTACCTTGAAGAACAACAAGGAAGCTGCAAGCCAACGCATAACATGGATGAACCTTGAGGACATTATGCTGAGTGAAATTAGTCAGGCACAAAAGGAGAAATACTGCATAAGACCATTATTGTAAAGGACTGAGAAAAAGAACCCACACAAAAAGGGGGAAAAAAATCTCTATATATAATTGCTGAACACCCGGATGTATGGGTTGAGAGGAGAGGAGGGAGGGAGGGGAAGAAAGAGCACAGGGTAGGGAATAGACATAGGAGAGCCTGGATGCTGGGGGGTGGTGAGGGGGTGGCAATACACAAGAAGAGGGAGGGTAAAAAGAAGAACAAGGTGGACGGGAGAACATCTGGTTGGGTAGGTTCGCATGTGCTAGATGGGACAGAAGTAAATGAGGATGTATGCACAACTTTGGAATTACAGGGCTTCAGGATACAGGGATAGAGGCATGGCCTGAAAGGGGATAAAAGGTGAATAATGTTAGGATGCTTGGCTGTCTTTTGAATCTTGGTTTCCCTGGCATACCACTATAAAACAGACACTGGAGGGGGAGAGAAAGGAATAGCCAGAAATATCACCATAGAAAGCTTGTAAGTCCGTCTTCTGCCTATAACTGATTGGAATACCAAAAATGGGGCTACAACGTGCCCAGTGAAGAAGGCTTCCTGCAGAGTCTCTGTATTACACAAGACCATAGGTGGATTCCTTAACAGCATCCAGAATTATCTGAGGGGAAATTTCCACTTTTAAGGACAAGCAGACCAGCCTGGAGTGGCTAGAAGAACAGAAGATACTTCCTGAAAGAAAGATTGACAGGAAAAATACAAAACAATACAGGCAAACCGACTGATTACTACAAGTACAAACAAGTGGCTTGCCCAGGAGACATCTAGGCAAGTGGTTGGGTCCCCTCAGGGCAAACCTCCTTCGAAGGCTGGGACCCAATGATAATACACACTCTGATTGGTGACCAGGTTTGTCACTGATAGAGGGAAGTGAGGGAAGGGCAGCAATGGAGCTGCGAGCTAAGCCCTACAATGTTCAGTGAACTCCTGTGAATCCAGCTAGAGACCTGGCTGGCCAGCAGTGTGGCTAGACCTGGGCACTCTTCAGCCCAGAGTCAGTGACATAGCCACAGAGGACTAGAGTGGAGAGTGAAGTGTCCAGCTGATAAGCAGAGAGGGCACATGCATAAGTACACCCACCCTTGCAGATAATACCCACCTGAACTGGCTTCAATGGCTGGATGATCAGAGCTCAACCAGAAGAAGAAAGAAAGAG